CCAGGGGTGGGAGGGGAGGGGAGGGAACACTGAAAAAAAAATGCATTGACCCATGTCACTTTAGTTTTGTGTATTTCACTGAACATAAATTATATTTCAATAAAATGCATTTAAAAAATAAAAAAGGATGTAACCAATGGGGCAACTGAGTGAAGTGTACTTGGGACCACTTGCTTCTGTCTTTGTAACTTCCTGTAAATTTATATATATTTATTTCAAAATAGAAAGTTAAAAAAAAAATAAAGTCACACAATTTTGAAAAAAACTCTGCATTCAGAGTGACAGATTATCCTCCAGGCAATTTGGCAGCTATTCCTATTATCTCCCTCCTCTAACCCTCCGTAGCCAGTGTGTAAAAACCTCATATACCAGACTGCCACCCAGGCTGGGTACCACCATTCCTTTTATCCTTTGCCAATCTGACAAATGAAGATTGTATCTTACCTATGCTTCTTTGATGAACAGTGAGGGAGAACACTGTATACTACTGTGAAGGCTATTTGATTCTCTATCTGGTGCCCATTTTTCTGTGGGGCTGGTTGTTTTTTCCTTACTGCTTTGTAAGCATTTGAAAATATTTATAAGCATTTGTATAATGAATATATTAATATTGTTAGTATTTTTTCCCCTTAAGGCCAGTTTCCTCCAAACTCAAAGAGATCCTAGGAGGTCCAGTCTTTAATATTTTTAAGTTCAAATAATAGAATTAAGATCTTTGGAATGTCTTCATCAATCCTCTCAAAATGATTTGATCACAGTTTCTGGGGGCATGTATGTCTGCATGTAGACCCTCCCCTCACTCAGGGAACAAGGCGATAGTCTTCATGGACCAAAGAGGGCTTACCTTCACTTTTTCATAATTTTGCCGGTATTTATATGAGTCCCAGATCCTGATTGCACTGATGAATGCTGAGTGCTTGTGGGGGTGTGTGAGGGCGAGAATGTGGTTTGAATTCTATGGTCCTCATGCACCACTCAGGCGTCAGAAATCCTTGCCGCCCTGCGATTGGCTAGCGCAGGTTTGGATGAGTCCCTGACAGGGTATCAAAAGGCTGCAGATGTGCACAAGGACCTCAGACCCATCAGGATCTGCAAACATTAGTCATGACTGGACATTTGCAGGCCTCCTTTCTTTTCCCCCTTCTTTTAGCTGGCTTCGTGCAGCCAGATCCCAAGCCCGAGAAGATGAAGGTGAGTGACCTCCAGAGAGGGTGGAAAAGGGCTCCAACATGGAATTACCTTTCCGCCCTGCTTCTAGATTCCACCTTCCAGTCTTTTTTGTAAGTCTTGGACCTCTGCTTTCTTCTTCTGTGAAGGTTTTATTAAATTTTCTCCTTCCTTACTCTTACACCTACAAAATATGTTTCTTGAGTTAAATATGGCTAGGGGAGATATGATACTTTTTCCCTTCCTTCCCCACAAGCAGGCCCACCACTTAGGTGTCTGAGTGAAATCTGGGTCTGAACTACTGGGCAGTGAAGGGTATAAAGAGGGATGAGGCCAGGGTTTGGAGGAGACGCTGAGCTCTGCCGTCTCAGAGATGCTCAGTGGTAAGTAAACCATCAAGAAGAGGACAAAACTAATCTGCAAGTTTTAAGAAAGTCAGAGAGTTACCAGAGAAGCATAAAACCCTCAGAAAAAAATAACCAGAGACCTAAAACATCTGGATTTAGAGTCAAAAGTCTTAGATTTGGCCTCAGTTCTATTCTCAATCAATGCTCAGGTGACTTATTTTAAAAACATTTGAGTATGGTAATGGGAAGGAAGTGCAGGGAAGGATAACAATGGACTTGATGGCATAGAGGCAAAAAAGAATCATGAAATAAAGGTCAGACAATCTTTTATTCATATACAGTTATCACTTTGGGCCTTGAACTTCACCTCTATTAGCTTCTGCTTTCTCTCTTTATTTATTTATTTTCCATGATTATGGGGTTTATTAGGGAAGTAACAGGTTTCAATTCAGGTTCAGGAATGTGCTCAGGATACAGTTCTTCCATCAGGACAGTCTCCCCTCTGCCACACCCTCAACCACACCTCTCTGGACCTTGGTCTCTCAGCCTGGCTCTGCCCTGCTCTGGCAAGTATTACAAAGCTCTTTTAGCTCTCCCATTAGGAGCTCTGGTGGCATAGTGCCTAAGGCATTTGACTGCTAACCAGAAGGCTGGTGGTTCAAATCCACCAGCAACTCCAAGGAAGGAAGATTGGGCAATGTGCTTCCATAGTGATCCTGCCACAGAAACCCAAGGAGGGGTTGTTGTGAGTTGGGTCTGACTCTTGACGGCAATAAGTTTGGTTTTTTGGTTTGATAGGAGCACTAGAGTGCACTCTACTCTGCCAGCAAGCCTCATGCCCCAAAGCATTCTACTTTGTCTCTGTGTGGGCCAGCAAGCTCACTGCTCTGTTTCATGCCTCCTGGTTGGTCTGACAGTCCTCTCTGCCAGTCACCTCTGCTGTCTTTCTGCCATGGAGGTGCAACACAGGCATCTCGGGTACAAGGATGTGCTCCACTCCACCTCTGGCTCTTCTCTTTTGATGGCAGTGAGATTCCCCCTTCTGCCTCTAGTACAGCTCACTTTAAGCCTGCCAGAATTTCTTTCTATTTAAATTTGTGGTTGGACCTTATGGGTTTGTGAGCAACAGTTATAATACATATAATGTTTTCTAGTGGCTCAGTGGCTAAGGCATTTGACTGCTAACCAGAAGGCTGGCGGTTCAAACCCACAAGCCACTCCTCGGAAGGAAGATTATCGGGCAATCTACTTCCATAGAGATATTGCCCCGGAAACCCAAGGAGGGGTTGCTATGAGTCAGATCCAACTGGACAGCAGTGAGTTTGGGGGTTTTTTGGTTTATAAAAGGTAGCCCTGGCAAGATCCACCCACCCCCCAAAACTGACTAGATGGCCTCCAAAGTGACTTTCTATTTTTGAGAATTGATAAGGTTTTGTGTTACCCAGAGCTCTGGTGGCCCAGTGGTTAAAGCATTCACTGCTAAGCGAATGGTTGGCGGTTTGAACCTACCTTGGGAGAAAGATGAGGCAGTCTGCTTCCGTAAGAATTTACAGCCTTGGAAACCCTATAGGCCAGTTCTATTCTGTCCTACAGGGTCACTACAAGTCAGAATCCACTGGATGACAGTAGGTAGTGGGGCTGTTTAATTGGATGTGGAGACACTGGGCTGTAGAATTCACTTAATAAAAAACATAAAGGCAGCTTGATTTTCTCTTTACTTCCAAGTCCTCCCATCCCAACTCATGAATGTTTGCCCTTTTCCATTCATGCATGCCTTTCCTGGATGTCTTGTAAAAATAATAGGAGAGACTTGTTTCTTGCTCAAAAAAAAAAAAACCATTGGATTTCAAGCCAAAAGCCAAAGTTTCAATCCTGTCATTGACACCTTAGACAATTCTTGTTTTCTGAGTCTATGTTAATTCATGTATTATTCTTTGAGTCCTTTGAAAGATTATGCGGATGTTAAGAATTGTTGTTACTAATACTATCATCGTTTAAAATAATTTTGCAGATGAATTGCTACAAAGATATAAAAGGCACCATCTATGAATATGGGGCCCTCACTCTTAATGGAAGGGAGTACATCCATTTCAAGAAGTATGCAGGCAAGCATGTCCTCTTTGTCAATGTGGCCACCTATTGTGGTCTGACAGCTCAATATCCTGGTAAGAATTCATACCCAAATCTCCTGGGATTAGATTTGCTATCAGATTACATTATAAATCATAATTAGAATTATGTTCTTATTCTAACTATGTACTAAAATAAATAAATAAATATTCATGATCGTGTGACTTCATCCCCTATGTTAGGAATCAATAAACTGTTGTCCACAGGCCAAATCTGTCCTGTTTGTATAAATGAAGTTTTCTCGGAACATGGCTGGGCCATTTGTTCACATATTGTTTATAGTTGCTTTTACACTGTAGGCAGAATTGAATAGTTGTAAGAGAGACAGTGGGAACTCTAGTAGCCTAGTGCCTAAGGCACTTGATTGCTAACCAGAAGGCTGGCAGTTCAAACCCACCAGCCACTCCTCAGAAGGAAGGTTGGGCAATCTACTTCCATAGTGATACCGCCTCAGAAACCCAAAGAGGGGTCACTATAAGTTGGGTCCAACTCAATGGCACACAACAACAGCAAGAGAGACCGTATGAGTAGTTGTGATAAACCAAAAAAACCAAACTTACTGCCGTCGAGTCGGTTCCAACTCATAGCGATGCCCCCTTGGGTTTCTGAGGCAGTATCTCTACAGAAGTAGATCACCTAGTCTTCATTCCAAGGAGTGGCTGGTGGGTAGAGAGCATTAAAAAAACAAACCAGTTGTCATCAAGCTGATTCCAATTCACAGTGACCTCATGTGTGTCAGAGTTGAAATGTGGTCCATGGAATTTTCAAGGGTTGCTTTTTTTTGGAAGTAGATCACCAGGCCTTTCTTCTGAAGTGACTCTGGTTGGACTTGAATGTTCAACCATGTGGATCTCAAAATCTAAAATATTTAGTACCTGGCTCTTTACAGAAAAAGTTTGCTGACCCCTGCCCTGCTCAGCTCCCAAGGAAAAGATGCTAAAGCCTACACAGAGAAAGCACTTCCTTACCAAATATAGAAAGTAAATAGTCACAACCTGGTGTGCTAGTGATAGATTAGTGGATTTTTGTTTTTTTCCTCATTCTTTTCATCACTTCACTTTTTTGTTTTTATCACTCTGCCACTTGAAGGAGGCAGAGGGTGTGGGACCAATATCTTTTCTAGTCCCACAGCATTTCCCAGAAGTCTAGTTTAATCTTAGTTTGTCTTCCTTATCAGATATCATCTGATCAATTTATATCTGAGTGCTAGAAGGTTCTCGGAAGATTCCAGAAGTCTCTCGGTAAAAACAGGAGAGAGTATCAGTGTTTTTGAGACTTTTCCAGGATTATACAGGTGTCTTAGACGACAGGGAAAAAGGTGATGGGATTTTGTACTTGCAGTTGCATTAGATTAGACTGAGGGCAACAATAGAGGCAAATACTCCCTCTTCAAACTCAATGCCTCCTTTATGTATAGTTTTCTCCCACTCTGTACTTTACTCAGGAAATAATTTTATCTTTGCTATTCCAAGCAAGGTGGTTTGAGGATCAGTGACTAAGCAACAGGATGGATTATACCAGAGACAGATGGACTTTCTGTATTTGAACTAATAAGGGTTTCGTTTTCTGTTTTTAATTATGTTGTTTTGAATAGGTAATACGTCCACAAGGTTCAAAATAAAAAAAGGAACAAAAATATTTAGAATGAGAAGTCTCCTTTCCTTCCTACCTTCCAAGCCAAAAACCAAACTCACTGCTGTTGAGTTGGATCCAACTCATAGCTACCCCTCCTTGGGTTTCTGAGACAGTATCACTATGGAAGTAGATTGCCCAACCTTCTTTCTGAGGAATGGCTGGTGGGTCAACCACTATTCTGTATTTACAGAATAGATTGGTTTTGTTGCTATTCTTTCCTTTAGTTGATAACATACTATTAATACTATTTGTCACTTTGCTTTTTCAAATTTAAATTTCATTTTAGAGTTAAATATAGGAAACCCTGTGGGGCAGTTCCACTCTGTACTCTAGGGGCATTGTTAAGGCACTTGACTGCTAACCACAAGGCTGGCAGTTCAAACCCACCAGCCACTCCTCAGAAGGAAGGTTGGGCAATCTACTATCATAGTGATACTGCCTTGGAAACCCATGGAGGGGTTGCTATGAGTCGGGTCCGACTCAACGGCACATAACAACAACAACACTCTTTTTTAAAGGCAAGATATTTTTTTTTT